TATGCCACCTTGTAAGGGGCCGTATATAGGGGTCTTACAAATTCAAATCGGGTGTTGGTACATATTGTAGTAGAATTCTTGGAGGGAACCTAAAGAGATACTATTAATCAGTAATTCATCCTTCAGAGCTCATGCAAGCAGGCATGGCCGCTCGCCTGGTCCAGCGATACGAAATCTGAGGCGTATCGCACAGTGACCGGCTCGTTTTCGTTGAGGACCATGGCTGGGAAGACTTCTGGGTTCTTGCTACGGGAGGGACTTGGCTGTTTCTAAATGATGATAGGTGCAAAGTGAGTCAGGTGCATCCCCTGCTATGCTAACTTCGCATAGGTCCCCTACCGGATGATGTCAGAAGAGACATGTGAATCTCGACTGGTACTCTCGCTGCGAAGTGCCGTGAATAGCCAGGCAAACACTGTTAGCATGTCGGGTCATGGCAACTTCTGGAAATGTAAACACCGGCGTTTTGCAACCGACCATGGGTTTGTCAGAACCTAATTCGCCTGGCTAGCCCGTTCTGAAGCACCACTCGTGGTGCTTCCAAGCTAGCGGCGAGCCCCCTTGAACTTAGCAGCTGCATGAATGCTTCAAGTGCACATGACTCTCCTGTTCGCCATTCCCCTACAGGCTCGAGACAGGTTCCTGAAAGGTGCATCGCGTTTTCCATCATGTGGAGAGGCTGCACGCCGAATGGCAGTCTTTTCATGGGCTCTCTTGTTATGAGAACCTCTGATTGGCCTGCGCAGTCCTTCTAGCGGGACTCCCACAGCACTATCAGAGCATGCAGCGAATTGCCGGAGCATCTTCCCAACGGCTTCTGGCGCTGGGCAGCCTGCCTAGAGCTCCTTATCTGCATTGCACGGACAGAAGCGATATGTGCCGGAGTCACCAGATTGGGAACACCTGCTCTCGCCGTTCATGTGTTCGGGTCCCTGCCAACCGCAATAACGGCCATCCGTGCTGGGATCATACTTGGCCCCGCCAGTCTGCGTGCCCTCGCAGACTTGACCTGAAACGCTCAAGACCACACGGCACATCACGGCACATATGCCTAGAATGCCTAGAACTTACCAGATGTTGCTCACTCAAGCGTTGCCTGCAAGCTTTGCTGCGTCATGGAACTCCTCCTCGGAAGACGGCCACGCATCGTCGTTGCACCCATCGCGGGCAGCACACGCCTGATCGCAGCTTGCCCCAGCAGCACTCTTCACCTCATTGCACACACGGCAAGCGGAGAAGCCCATCCCAAATGCATCCGGAATAAAGGCTCAGGAAGATATCTCGGAGTAAACTACTGCCAATCAATGTGCTGGTCGCCCAAGTGATAGCAGAGCAGACTGGCAGCAGGAGAGCTACAAGTAGGGCCCGGGACACCATCCTCTCAGCGGGAGTTCTTGCTAGCAAGGTCACGGGGCTGATCCTGAGTCCTTGAGACCTTTCGAGCAAAAAAGTTGCAAATTGCAGGCGATCCTATACAAAGTTATAGCAAGTTCTTATCGCATCCTCGAGACAGGTTCCTGAAAGGTGCATCGCGTTTTCCATCATGTGGAGAGGCTGCACGCCGAATGGCAGTCTTTTCATGGGCTCTCTTGTTATGAGAACCTCTGATTGGCCTGCGCAGTCCTTCTAGCGGGACTCCCACAGCACTATCAGAGCATGCAGCGAATTGCCGGAGCATCTTCCCAACGGCTTCTGGCGCTGGGCAGCCTGCCTAGAGCTCCTTATCTGCATTGCACGGACAGAAGCGGTATGTGCCGGAGTCACCAGATTGGGAACACCTGCTCTCGCCGTTCATGTGTTCGGGTCCCTGCCAACCGCAATAACGGCCATCCGTGCTGGGATCATACTTGGCCCCGCCAGTCTGCGTGCCCTCGCAGACTTGACCTGAAACGCTCAAGACCACACGGCACATCACGGCACATATGCCTAGAATGCCTAGAACTTACCAGATGTTGCTCACTCAAGCGTTGCCTGCAAGCTTTGCTGCGTCATGGAACTCCTCCTCGGAAGACGGCCACGCATCGTCGTTGCACCCATCGCGGGCAGCACACGCCTGATCGCAGCTTGCCCCAGCAGCACTCTTCACCTCATTGCACACACGGCAAGCGGAGAAGCCCATCCCAAATGCATCCGGAATAAAGGCTCAGGAAGATATCTCGGAGTAAACTACTGCCAATCAATGTGCTGGTCGCCCAAGTGATAGCAGAGCAGACTGGCAGCAGGAGAGCTACAAGTAGGGCCCGGGACACCATCCTCTCAGCGGGAGTTCTTGCTAGCAAGGTCACGGGGCTGATCCTGAGTCTTTGAGACCTTTCGAGCAAAGACAGCGAAGAGCAGCGAAGAGTATCAAATTGCAGGCGATGCAGGAACTTCCAAGACGGAATGGATGAGCGCGGCTCTCAGTGCGTCCACTTCGCGAATCTTTGCAAGCGAAACCTTTGCAAAGCAGCAATTCTTTTCCGTGTATCCGTCAAACACACGGCAGCGATATGCCCGCATCCTGGCTGAGAGGGTGCGGAGTCTCGTGACAAAGGCGGGTGCATAGACACATGCATATCCATAATGTCAGGTGGGTGGGTGGTGGGTGGTGGGTCGGCTGGGTGGCTGGCTGGATGGGGGATGGGTGGATGGGTGGATGGGTGGCTGGCTGGGCTGGATGGATAGATGGATGGAGGCATGCATTCATGCCTACATATGTGTGTTTGTGCATGTCAAAGTGTCAGTGTACGTGTATGCGTACGTGTATGTGTACGTGTACGTATACGTTTATGTGTACGTGTAGGTGTAGGTGGATGTGTTTATGCATCTGTATGTGAATGTGTATGTGTGTGTGTGTGTGTCTACGTATGTGTGCATGCGTGCATGTGCGCATGTGTGTATATGTGTGTGTATATTGTGTGTATATGTGTATACGTGTGTATATGTGTGTACGTCCGTGATTATATATATATATATATATACACACCTGCGTAATACATGCATAGATGTACACAAACAACATGTAGTGGCTGCCGCGAAGGCTTTCTGACGCGTTCCAAAGACCGCGAAGGCACAGGGCGCAGCGGTGGATTTCGAAGGACCGGCCTTTTGCGGCCGTCAGACTTCGTCACACCAGCGCGATGTCAACATCCTGATTATGCAGCTGCCTACTCCTTTGCTAGTAGGGTTGTGGAAGAAAGCTATGGCAGGACCGTGAAAAACCGAGAGGATACGATGCTATACCAACGAGGACCAGACTAGACTAGACTCGACTAGACTGCACGAGATGAGACGAGACGAAATCGTACTAAACCAGAGTGTACCAGACCGCACTACACTTTGAAGGCTACCCTATACCAAACTATACATGCGATACTATACTATACCAAGTTCTACTCTCCTCCACTCGAATAAGCTAGACTCTTACTATATACTAGAAGGGAGGTGACACATGTATGTATATAAAATATACACCGACGCACCTTTTGTAAATACAAACACTTTGTGCAAGCATATAAAGCATCTAAACACTATAGAAACATAACATACATTGCATACATAGTATATAGATAATATACAACACACACTGTATGTGTATGTATATATATATATATGTGGAAATAATACGGTATAATGATGCAGCGCAGTTTCTGGCCTCGTTTGGCGACTCGGAACTCGAAAGCTCGTCACTGGCCTGTGCAGCATGGCACCCATGCATTGCAGCTTAGGGCTTATAGGGTTTAGGGGAGGCCATAACACATCCCATTTCTCACCGTTAGTCATTCTTCTAGTCCTTATTGGAGCTACGAGTACTCGGATTTTCCGCCCTTGTTGATGTGCATTAATACGTCCCGGATCCCTCAAGAGCACCACTGGCAAACATGATGCAGGCCTCAAGAGTACGGCAACAAAGATTACAACCATCAGCAAGGCTGGGGCTATGAGCTTCTGAAGGAAGAGGGGGGTCCTTGAGCAACTTGTGCGAAATGCCAAGGAGAAGGATACCGAGAGAGAGAGAGAGAGAGAGAGAGAGAGAGAGAGAGAGAGAGAGGGGAGGGAGAGAGCAGAGGAGTGGGACTAAGACAAAGACTCGAGAGGTCATGAGAGTTCAATCGGCTCTCAAGTTTCTACTACCGCAAGCTCTGCATGCTGCAAAAACCAGACTACCAACCTGAAACCCCGACGCTAAACTCTCAGTCGCAACCCAACAGTTCTAGGGACTGAAGCCTGAAAAAGCCCTAAACCCTAAACCCCCAAGCCCAAAACCCTAAACTCTAAACCCCCAATCCCAAAACCCCAAACCCCCAAACCCCAAACCCTGAAGGCCCTAAACATGGCCTTGGCCCGGAGAGGCTTCCGAGGGGCTTTGGGCCGGCCTCGATGCGCGAGAAGCTCCAGTGCCGAGGACACGAATTTGGCTTTGGGGATTTGGGGTATAGGGTCTAGGATTTATGGCTTAGGGTTTAGGATTTAGGCTTTAGGATTTAGGGTTTAGGATTTAAGGTTCAGGATGTAGGGTTTAGGATTTAGGGTTTAGGATTCAAGATTTAGGAGTTAGAGTTTAGGATTTAGGCTGTAGGATGTAGGCTGACAAAGTCAGGGTTTAGGATTTAAGCTTTTGGGTTCTAGGGGCAACAGTTTGGGACCTCAAAGGTCATCTTGACCAAACGAGTTTCCAGCGCCTGGTAGAACACTACAGTCCTTAACCTGGAAGCCCGAAACGCCACATCATCATGAAAGCGCATTTAGGGTTTAGGGTTGTGACTATAAGAGATCAGGGCTGGATAGTTTGGGACATGAGGCTATGAAGTTCAAGGCTCCATTTGGGGCTTCCGAAAATACGGGACCCTAATATAGTAGCCTAAATAGTAGGATCATTATTATAAGGACCCCCAAATAAGGTGCCCCAAATTTTCGGAACCTCCCATTTATGATAATTTCAGAACTTGTAGGAAATGGCTTGGCAGCTTCTGACATGGACAGCTTCATCACGCAAAGCGTCCACTGAGCAGTGCGGCCTTTCATCTCTGCCTTCTTGGCTGAGCTTGTTGGCGGCCCGGCCTCACAAGTATTCGCGCAGCACATGTCTGAAAAGATGTGATGTTGATTGTGGCTGCGGGACTGAGAACACAGTTGTTTAGTTGCGAATGCTGCCCACAATCAGCGGTGGTACTGTCAGAGACTGTAGCAAGCATCGCTGGTGAGGACTATACACTGCTCCTGTCACTGCTGCTTCTCCTCCGGCTGTCTCCCATTGCAGCAAGGCAAGGGGAACATCCATATCGAAACGAGTTGAGGTGAGGTCCTCGAAATCCACACCAGGCACGTCCGGAAAGGTCTGGACGGAATCGGAACCCCGAAAACTACTTGCATTGCTGTTGCTGCTACGACCACCACCTCACGACGACTAGTAGTACCACGATCTTCCCCTGACAACACCGGTCCGAATAAAACAGGGAGTCCCATGAAGATGACGACGGCAGCGATGATAGATGTGGGTGGTGGGGGCAGCGGAGATGTTGCAGAAAAATATTCATACTAATACTAATATTAATACTAATATTAATACTAATATTAATACTAATATTAATACTAATACTGAGGTTGCTGTGGACTCCGGACCGTAGCAGAGCCGCCCTCCCCTAAGCCAAGGGCTGTCGGCCGGTCCGGTCGTTGCCCGACTGGCCTGGAAGGTGAAGCGCTGCTTTGAGGATCGTCGAGGCTCAGATCTTCTAGGGCACAGGGGAGGGGGCGGGGTACTAGCACGTGAAGATCTGTGGTGCCAAGCTCCTTGCTGAAGCCCAATCAAGCACCTGCAAGCCCCGAACTTCTGAATGGTGCACCTGCCATCGCCACTCTCACTGTCGGACCCGGTTTCAGAGTCGCTGATTTCGGCCTGGCTCCAAAGCCACACTGCGCCGACTCGTCACGCTCTTCGTGTGAGTTCACGTGCCACATCTTCCTCCCTCAACTTGCCGAGGGTACACCCGCTGAAGGGCTCCTGTCAAGGGAGAGGCATTGTCCTGTATTCCATGCATCACACACATGGACATGCATAAATGAACACATGCATACATACATACATACATACATACATACATACATACATACATACATGAGTAGGCCGAGTAAGCATACATACACACACATGGAGTAAATAGAAGCATGATGAACAGCAAAAACGAATTCACGAATGCAGAAAGAGAGAAGCAATAATATATATTATATAAGTCAATAAGTTCGAAAGTAGGTAAACAAGTCTGTATGTATAGATACGCCTATATACACACATACGAATGTACATGAGCATGTGTGTCCATGTATGTATACACACATGTAACATGTATACACATATGCATGTATCTATGTGTTTACATATCAACCTATATGCGCATATAGGCACATATACATGTGTATGTGTGTGTATATATATATATATATATATATATGTGTATACATATATATATATATATACACGTGTGTATATGTATATGTACATATACATACGTGTATACATAAAAACTTGCACACGCATGGGTATATGTGCAACCGTATATGCGCATATATATATATATATATACACGATGTGTGTATGTGTATATCTAGAAACTACTGTGTGTATTATATGTATGCATGCATACCTATACATATATATAAATGAACATATATATATATATAAACACATGTGCGTGTGTGTGTGTGCATATATATATATGTATATATATATACATATATATATATATATATATATAACTATATGTTCTAGATATGTACCTAAAACATATGTATGTGTACACCATGCTCCCACCCCTGCTTCCTTGCGTCTCGCTGTCGATACACCGGAGCGGCCATGGGAGGTGCCATTCCTGGGTCGTCTGCGCTGTTTGCTAATGTTTGTTACGTATTGTAAACCTGCGACCAACACCAACACCACCCCCACCCCCAACCCCAGCAACAACAACAACAGCAGCAACAACAACAAGAACGACAGAAGAACAGTAACAACAACAAGACCCATTATAATGCCTCTTGACTGCTCCCACACTGTGCTGCTACAAACTGATTATGACGAACTGCGAACCGGAACTTTGGGCTCAGTGTTGGAGCTAATGTTCGTGCATCTTCGAAAACAAGTGGGTTTGGCTTTAGCCTTTTGAAACTGCTCGCGCCTCCGCTGACTCCAGGGGGTGGGCCCCAGGGCCTGCGCAAGGCAGAGAAAGGAACAGGGGAGGTGGCCGTGTTTTTTGCCAGGTTCGGTGGTGGAAGCAGAGCTGGCGCAAGAAGCTTGCAGATGGTCGTAATCATACTGCCTCTGTGGGCCAAGCATCGGACCCCGATGCTTGAATTCGAGCCATTATATGCATGGCTGATGCCTGAAGATGTTGCCGCTTTGCGTCGCTGTGGGTGGCCTGGCAGATTGAGTCTAAAGAATGCATCTAGCTGGCTATGAACATGAAGGCCTCAATATGCATACTTAAACACGAAATTTGATGTACCCATCGTATACATCTGCAGAGAAATAGGTAGGCATGTGTTTCCGTGTGGGTTGAAAGTGCCGAGTTAAGGCTGTGGGCAACATAAGGCAAGCAGTGTGCAAGCAGGTGCTGGAGGGAAACCCGCAGTTCTTAGAGCTTCCAGCAAAAACGAAGGCTTCATCCGTTCTCTGTGAACTTGTGAGGAAGCTGCGTCCTTATCATGGTTTGGGGGGCTGACATTCCAGCACAGTCGTTCGTAGTCATGGACACTGAACCAGCCCTAAACCCTATAGTAGTTAGTATTCACCTAGACCCTAAACCCTGTAGTAGTTAGTATTCATGGACACTGAACCAGCCGAAGTGGAACTTTCAAGCAAACCCCCAAACCCCAAACCCTAAACCCCTATCCGCCGCGACCGGCGTGGCAGGCGACCTGAAAATGTTGCTCTCCATTGGCATTCCAGGCCTGGGCTCGTTCGTGTTGAGTTCTCGTTATGGTGGTTTTTATTGCTATAAGTAATACTAGTATAATTGTTATTACTATAGCAACAACATAGTTATAGCTAGAGCCATTCGTGTAACTCTTAGTTAAACTGTTGCTACTAGTGTTACTCGCAGTAATAGTAGCCACTCATATGCAAAGTCGGCAATGGTGGGAAAACCGCGTCCCTTCAGGCACGTGGACTAAAAGCTATTACTACTGCTACTAATATTACCCTTACTCGTATCCCTATTCCGTTTACAAATATTCATGCTACTACATTATTATTGTTACTGTTCTTACTATTGTTAGTACTATACTATAATTATTGCTACTATTATTGTTGACATATATTTTGGTCAGTCGTGTGAGCCGTGCGTTTCCGAAGTCTCAGGGCGCTGCGCAAAGGGAGGAGCCCAGGGAGGCGCAGCGTGAGCTGGGTGAGGTGGGAGCGGTGGGCCGGGCGGAAGGCCAGGGACATGCGGCGGCGGTCTCGGCCCTCTCGGCCCTGCGTGGGGGCCGAAGAGGCCCGGGATCTGCGGCGGAGGGCCGGGAGGGCCCGGAGGGCCAGGGCCGAAGAAGGGGCCCGGGCCCGAGCCTGGAGGTGTCGGGCCAAGAAAAGGTGCCGGAGCACCTGAGAAAAAGGACTCTTAATTGAAGATGGCCATCATAGGTTCCTCTAGATCCGTCTCCGCTTTTTGTTCTTCTCACTGCTCAAACCTTCTGCTGCCGTTTTGGGCCAGTGAATATCGTGGACTCTATAAATCAAAGCTCGTCCTTGCACGGCTGGCCTGTTCCGCCGAGCATGCCGCCAGCACGTGGTGGGACCTTGTCGAACCTGCGCATTAAAGGCAGGCAAAAAGAGGGACTGCTCATGAGACCCTCACAGTAGGACCGGTAGGACCGTTGTATACCGTTCTTTTGTAACAGATACGTCTCAAGCAGTCCTTACCCGGAGGCACTTCTGGAGGGTAGTAAGGGCCGCGCTTGCTTCGGAACCATGGCTCATTCCCATACTCGAAAGCGACCTGCGCAAAGAGAGCACTCGTGCCTTCACAGACTTGTGGACTTGTAAATCCTACCGCCCAAGTAGTGGAACTAAGGTGAAGCACCTGGAAATTTGTCAGTACCCGTTGTTCCGTTGCTGATGTCCCTAACTTCAACAACTCGCACGAAGTTTTAGGGCATGGTCTTTCAAATACACCCTGAAACGCTACACTCAGCCTGTGCGAAAACCCAAAAGCATCACAGCTCCGCCCAAAGGCTGTTTTCCGCTCCTTGAAAAGCTCCAGCCACGACCTAGCCCAGTGGAGCTCCACGTTCTCCGTGTACGAGCTCTGAAAATCTTTACACATATATACATATATATGTACATACACACACACATATGCTGGTTACCTATTATGAGATATACATATGTATGTATATATGTTTACATAATTATGAATGTGACCGCAGAGTAGGTATACTGTATTCGAACTTGAAGGGCAGCATCACATTGGGGCCGTCGCTTCTCAGTGCATCATTGGGCAAGCCGCTTAGGGATCCTTTGGAAGGAGTTCAACGCATCAGCACCGGATCCTCAAAATGCTGTAGACCTCCATTAGGGTTTAGGGCTTCGGGTTCTATAGCGGCCTCAATGATTAGAATAGGCTTTGAGGGTCCCTGCGTCAAATGAGCTCAGGGCTGTTAGGGCATGACCTACCTGCTTCATGCAGTATTGGAGTGCGGCATTTTGAGGAGGCGCAATCTAGAATTCAGTCACCTTGGACCTCTGTCACCGGGCCACCTTTGGGCGGTCCCCACGAAAGCCAAACAAAATCGGAAATCTAGCAGGGCTGCACGAGCAGCTGGGCTTCAAACAACGTGCAAAACCTCGGCTCGCACAAGTGTGGCACTTTGGCTGGGAGGGGTATTGTGATGTAGTACAGTATGACATAGTATCTATGATATAGTAAAGTTTATGTTATACTGTAAAAACAGAGGGCAATATGGTATAGCAAAATATCTTATGTTGACTACAAAAACGCGCTGAGAAAGCTCCAAGGTAAAGTCCTGACGTGACGCCCCCGGGCAGAACTCAATGAACTCAGCCACCGACCGCCTCTACACCGACCACGATGCTCACGGCGCCAAACGCAATCTCAGAGGGAGGCTACATGCAGCATAGGACAACAATTTATTCGGTTGATGCACGGCGGCAGACACTGTCACACTGCGACCGAGCTTCCAGAAAGCATGCGTAGGCCTAGGTGCAAGCAAACAACCATTGCAGCCGGAGAAGGATCTAGAAAGCAGCGAATCACGAGTCCACACCCAAAATGAACGACGCACCAGAGTCATTTGCACACGCCGTCACACGCAAGCCCTTGCACCAAACTGGTCTGCGGAACTGTCCGTAGCACGGTCGCGCAAGGCATAGTCCAGAGACAACTGAAACACTCACGTAGTGTTGCAGTACGAACCAGGACAGAAGGTACCTTAGAACGAAGAACACTTCCAGAGCTTACTTCAGAAAGCGAGTCCACGACGACTAACACCCAAATCAAACCCTACATCCAGAAGCCCCCCCAGCAGCTTTAGGTAAGGCACGGCAAGAGCACGGTTACGAGGAAGACGTGCTTTGCTCTTGCAAAGTGGCTGTTCTAGGTCAGACTTGCCTGGGAGTCGCATTTCGGCTTCTTGGGATTTGGGATCTATAGTATACTCGTGATCATAAGGAACCAAGGAACACTGTTCGACTCCCTGTATCAGCGTGGGCATACCGTAGGCTAGGTTCGTGAACTCGAACTTATGAACTGAATCTGGCAGGGCATCTGTCACCGAAGCGCCACCCTACTGCAGGCCCTGCAGCGTGCGATGGCCGAGCCTAAAGTGGAAGCCTCGTTTCAACTTGGGGCGGCGCTTTTCTGCGTCACTCGCAAATAGATGCTGGATGGACCTTGGCTGCTCAGCTTCAGCTAACTATGCCATGGGTTGAAGCGGCACCAAAAACAAAGCAACAGCAGCACCCTAAACCCTAGACCCCGCAGCCCTTGTATAGGGGCCTGAATAAATAGGATACAGTTTTGGGATCTAACAAATTATACTATACTTAGAAGAAGGACCCTCCCCCCCCCTCAAAAAATATATGTATAGAAGGCTGAGGCCAAGGCAAATCCAGCAGAGGCTGGAGCCGATGAAGGCTCCCAGGGTGCCGGTAACGACGGACACATCCTCAGGGTTCCTTAAAGGGATCTATAGGGTTCCTTAAAGGGATCTATAGGGTTCCTTAAAGGGATCTATAGGGTTTAGGGTTTCGGGTCTACTTGGAGGATCATGGGACTTAGGAAGTTCGGTTCCTTTAAGGGCTCCTTAAGGGTTCTATAGGGATCTGGGATCTATGGGGTTCCTGAAAGGGATACTATAAGGGTTTAGGGTCTACTTAAAGGATCATGGGACTTAGTAAGTCAGGTTGTAAGTCCCTTAATTGGGGTTATAAGTATAGTTACCCTAATTATAACCCTAGTTACTAAGCCCCATGATCCTTTAAGTACAGGCTTACCGTAACCCGCGAGAACCTGCTTGTTTGGTAGGGTCCCTATAGAGTCCATATTAGGTTTTATAACAAGAACCTACAAAAAACGTAGGTGTTGGTAGGTTAGGGTAGGGTTGAATAGAGGGGCCTCAATAACTACCCATACTTGCAGGGCTCCTTAATCGAATTAGAGTATGGCTTACCCCCAATATACTATTTTGGGGGTTCCTTATTCCAACTATAGAAGAATATACCCCCAAGCCCAAGCTCGAACTTTACGACATCATCAGACAGAGCAGTCTGTGTAACTCGCGTCCTCGATGCAAGACGCGACGGTGGAGATGGCGACAACCATTCCGCTGGTGATGGCGATCTTAGCAAAGGCTCAAAGAATTTGAGGCAGAAAAGCAGCCCAGCTGCGTCCCAGCCGCATGTGCCAAAGTGGGCCACTCTTTCATTGCCTGCTTGAACAAGCCCCCTCCGCAATTCAGACGCCTTAATTACCTTATATATAACTATGCTGCATGCACAAGTCGAAAAGCCGCTCTGAGACATGTTCGCACTAGTGGGGGCCGCACCACTACACTGAGCATCACGAACCTTGCCTTCTGCAGGACTGGCTGTGAGCCGATGAGAGAATCCCGCGCCGCTGTAAACACCAAAGGATACGTAAAAATGATGGCCTGAGGGCTGCGGAGGGTAGGGTCTTCCGCGATGCAGGACACTGCGGGATGTGCGAATTTTCAAAGTGTTTGGATTTTGTCGAGAATGAAATTGTCACCCTGGTGTTCTTACCTGCAGTAGGGAGCCACATCAGCGGTAAAACCTCAAAAGACACCACTATGCCCCCCTTGAGAACCATAATGAAAATAATACTTTTAATGTTCTCTTGGGTTTTATATGAACAAAAATACAAAATAATTCCTATAAGGAAACTATAGACCACAGGTTAAAATGCAGAACCTATCCGAACCGCTGATCGGCAACTGCGCTCAAAGCATCCTCGGACCCTGCTTCTAACGTAGGACCCTGATTAAGAAACCTTGGGCCTTTATTAGGGTTCCTTTTCTGAATCCTAGTATATATTCGGGGTAGAGGGCCAGGGTTTCTTAATCAGGTTCCTAAAACAGGCTACGCTTCCATCCATCGAGACTCCAGAGGCCTTGCACACATCGAACCGACAATCGGCAATACGCTCAACAGGAAATGTTGAAGTCAACATCACAAGATCGGAGATATTGAGAACGCAGATAAGTGCGCACTCACGTCCACCAAAATGATAAAGCATTGGTACATAACTCAATTGCGCAGTCTGTTGTCTGTGCACGGGTGGCCCCAAAGCGTCTTGTAGGACTGGCCGAGGTACGGCTGATGATATAAATCCTGCATTACCGATAATAAGAAATATACTCTGGGGATAAATGGTATATTCATTATTATGGGTAATGCAGGATTTATATCATCAAAAGTAATTAAGTATCTACCTATAATTATCGTAAGGAACATTCAAAATATTATAACTATTTAGGCCCTTTTTTGTCAACCACAGCTTCAAATCCTGCAACCAAAGTGCAAAGGCCATACCCAGCCACGCGAGCCTGGGATTGCATCAAACTCTGGATATGAGCATGTCGAAAAAAGGGGCTTTAGTCTCAAAGTAGGGTTCCCTTAAAGAGGTCTATACGGCCTACTATAAGGGGTCTATCATAGGGTTCGATAATATAGGGGCCTTGATAATTAGAATAGGGTTTTGGGGCGCATTATACTATTGTTATACTAAGGAACCCTAAGGAAGAATTTTGGTAATAGGCTCCTATATTACCACGATGCACCGAGCATGCGCAGCAAAGCTGCCACACCGTTTGGCACCTGCTTTCTGCAGACATGAGGCAAGATGGGCACATTTCCGTCTGCATTGTAGTTTCTGAGAACGTTTCCTGCTGCGCATGGCAAGAAGTACATAGCTGGTTCTGCTTTGATCGACATATAGAAGTAGATCCTGAATGGACAGCTTACACCAGTCCACCTATAAGGTAACCCGAAGCAGGAACTGCAATGTAGACCATAATATAGGGGCCTTAATCATTATTCTGGTCCTTATTCTACATTTATTGTACAGTATCCCCTCAAAACCCTAAACACAAAACCCTTTTCTAATAATTAAGGCCCCTATATTCGACTTCAAGCTCGCCCGGACGCGAGCCTAGGAGTTGATTGCCGAACAATCCCAGGCCGGACAGCGCGAAGACCGAGTACACCTCAGGCTAGGATTTAGAGTTTAGGGTTTAGGGTTGAGGCGCGATTTGTCCCCGAGGGTGAACGGTCGCAGCTCAGGGTTCGGCTTCACATTCTCTGTTGCGCCGTGATTCAGGATTCAAGGATCTACTTTCTTGGGTTCTTGCACTTGCTGACCCTAAACTCTCCTAACTCCCCTGAACCCAAGCATCCCTAAACCCCCAGAACCCTCCTCTGCAGCTCAGGGGCCGAGAGGGCCGTTCCGAAACTGGCAAC